GGGGCCATACTGCTCTTGCTGACTCCCATCTCCAGCATCAAATTCAGAAAGAAAGAGGGTTTAGGGTTTAGGGATTCTAAAACAACGGCAGAAGAGGCAATGCTGGCAGTCATCAAGTCCGGTTTCAAAAGGGTTTAGAATCCCGCCGAAACGAACCCGCTCCCAGGAGATCTATCTGGAAGTCCAGGCAACTCCGCATCAGAAGCTTTCGCCGCATCCCTGCGAGAAGCTTCGGGCATTTCAGCTTCGGAGCTACGAGTCGGGCCGTTAGGGAGTGGGGCCCGACCTCGTCTTTCCAAGAAAAACAGAAATCGGGGGGGGGGGGGGGGGGGGNNTTGGGTGTAGGATGGCACAAGGAGCTCTTGGACTCGGTTGTTGTTCCCTCGTGCATGCTCCAGCGCAGCTAGGAGGATCGGACATCGGTTTCGGGTTTTCGGGGGCTTGGGTCTCGGCAAGACTTTCGGGCCCCGAAAACTGTGCACGCGCGGCCTATGACAAGCTATGGCGGCCACGCAGAGGGAGGCGATGAAGCGGCAGCATAGCGCCGCCTGCGAATTGAATGCTGGGCCCTCGAACTGAAACAGGAGCAATCAAGCCATTTCCAACCAGCCGAATTGAAGACCCTGCTTGGTGTGTTAACTTGGCTGTGCGTCATCGCGCATCCACAATGCCGAAAGCCGCAATCCCGGTCTCTGCGCTCCTACTTCCACAGCTCCACCAGCTCATGGCCTCTGCTCCGGGATGTGTGGCCAAGGACTGCCAACCTGCCACCTCGCAGGTGCCATGCTTCGCGTTCGGAAGCTCTCATCGATCATCAGAAACCGCCTCCAAAGCTTGTGCCGGCACCAGGTGGTAGGCCACTGGTACTGGGCCTAGCCGCATGATGGAACCTGAATGCCAAGCAAAAGCTATCGGCAGACACACCCAGGTGCCAGCATCAGGGGATCGTATTGTGCCCTTATTACAGCTCTGGCTCTGAAGTTGAACCGTAGTCAAACGATGCCTTTTCTGAGATGAGATGACGGGGTGCATTGGAAATGCTTGAAAATCGCGAGACACGTCTTCATCGAGGACGTTAGTTCTAGCTTGCGCAGATACTGCAGCATCTCCGCAGTACAATGGACAAAAATGTAGCTGCACAGCTCTGGCGAGTATTTGTGGCACCGGCGGGTGTGCTCTGTGTAAGCCGGTGTGGCAGATGTTCCAAAACGAACCAACCCGTCTATTCTGCAACCATCCATCCGAGAGCGCTTCCGGTGGTGCCGTCATGCTCTATGACCGAGACGTCATGCACTAGAACCGAATTTGGGTGCCAAAGCTCATGCCGCCGCAAGTTGCAGCATCATGCCAGGGCTTCAGGGCTTGGCAGGAAAAGAATCGCCTGGGTTTGAGGTGCCATGCAGAGGCCAGATCTGCATTGATATCCCGATGACTCGATGCGTTGCACACATCTTGAAACGTACCACGAGACGTGCAGGACACCTCAGAGAACCCTTGCGTGTGGCTGTGGTCCGACGGTGGCCTCATGCCAACAGGAGTAAATTCTAACGTGGTATCACAGGATATGTGCTAGAGTCAAAGTCACACAGCTCGACTAACCCAACTCAACACCACCCTTCGTGAAACCAGGTCCGCTGGTCATGAGAGCCACAAGAACCAGACCGCAGTTCAGTCAGCAGGTGTGCTAAGGCATCTTCACCACGATGTGGATCCGAGGTCTGCTCACAATGGGAACCATCCCGAACCTCCCCGGTCATGCACACCCTCAGCTGAACTCATGCATACGACCCTTCGAATTCCGACTGCGCTGATTGTCAGGGAAGTCGTTTGCAATGGGCTGCAGATGCACGCCTCTGCTCGACATGTCTCTAGACGCTTTGGAACCCCTACGTACGTGTACATCCGCGTAAGCCTTTCTGGAGCAAAAGCCGGTGGCTCCACCGGTCCATCTGCAGCAAAGCTTGCAATGTGCCCTTAGGTCTGAAAAAAGGGCGGCTCGACGGTACTGCCCGGCACCTGCCCTCACAGCCCAAAGCCAGTCAAATCGATGTTGCTCCACAAGTCATGGCGGTCTACTTGCTCCAACTCGTTGAACTGCCGCACGAATTCAGCCGCGTAGGCGAACAGGTCCTTGCAACGCTGAGATGATGTTTAGGAGAAACGTCCGAAAAAGCTGCTCACTCAGGAAATTCCGGGGAGGACGGCTGAAAGATAGGCCCCGAGGCAGAGCACTCAAACCTTGCGTGCAAGATTCTATCTCCGGGCAGGTGTTCTTCTGGGCCAGCCTCAGGTGCAACAAGGCGCCGCCATAGTTTGAGTTCCGGGTGTTTTATTTAGGGGGTGGGGTCTCGTGTGCTGGATTTCTGCCTTCGTTGTGCCGAGAAGCTCTTGGAACGTTTTCGCGCTCAGGAGGAGGAGCCTGCGCTCACCGGCACGCGAAGTGCTTAGTCCGAAAGTTGACAGCCTCTACTAGCATCCCTCACATCTCAAATTCCGACTACAAGTATCAGTGCCAGATCCACACAGTCAAGACGCAGACGCTAGAACCGGTCAGCAAACCCTGAAGCGCCTCACTCGCATAGATGCCACCCGTAGAGTGCCGTGATGGAGCCAATCTGTCCACAGGACCTCGGCTGGAGCTATGCAAAGACTGGTTACCGGTTACCAGGACTACAGTAACGACATAAAGACAAATTCCAAGGTGCATTCTGTAACAAGGTTGACAGAGAATGCTGGGCAAGGCTCCGGTTCTGCAGCGTGGTCGCCAGGATGGACAGACATCGACTCGAACTTCCCGCTGCGGAAATACACGAGGTCTCCATCCGTGATGAAAACCATCCGCGGCTCCACCGGCACCTCGCCTGCATCCGAGAAGCTGGGAGAAAAACTAGAAGACGAGTGGCCCG